CATTTAAAGAGTTTTTAAAATATTTTCTTATTCTCTTATTCACCTTTTAGTTTTTTGGCATCTTTTTAACGTGGAAATCAAATACTTTTTGTCACATGTATTGACCTTTTGTGATGACTCATTGTGAATGTGTTACAATCCTCACTGACAATGTAGCAGGATTCTGCACGGAGGGTGAGGGTCAGAGGGTCGTGACCCCGAGGCTTTTCTTTCCAGGAAGCAACTTTATTCCTGTGGGCATATTCCTGCCGGCATATTCCTGCGGGCACCCAGGCTCAGTTGGTTTCATACCCAAAGAACTGAGTCCCCCACGGGAGTCCCCCACGGGAGTCCCCCATGGGAGGGGGGGCGGTCTGATTGAGTGGTCTCATGTTACAAGGTCGTGAGGGGTGTTTTCAAGCGGCCTTGAGATTTCTTTCCTTAGGGAGGGGACCCTACCACAGTAAAATCTCAATTTTGTAAATATTTATAAAAGATATCAGAGCAGACAGGTACTGCTCCCCACGGAGCTCACCTACTTACCTACCTGGATTTTTCTCTGCATTTACAGACTTTCTGACCAATTGGGCCTTTCGATTCACCTCTTCTCATTTAAACTTAAGGGCTCTCCACAACACAGGGCATTGGTGTGAAGTTAATTAATTATTTGCATTTTTTTAAAAAAAGTCTAGTGTTCCAAATGTGCTGACTTTTTCTGTGATAAGTGGCTGTTACTAGTAAAACATCTAGGAAGTATTTTTAAAAAAAAAAACACTGCTGATTGACAGCTGCCTTTAGGTAAAGGCATGTTTTATCTATGAATGTGAAATCAACTGCTTTTGAGTGATCATTTTGAGAACATCTATTGGGATGTTTTTCCATTGATATCTGATTTTATTACTAAAATAATGTTAAAACTGTCAAATATGGGCACTTAAAAAAAACCTTGCAAATATAATTTGTAAACTTCGTAAAAATCTTCCCAAAAGAAAAGATTTGATGGGCTTCTACCTGTTCACATATTGAAAGTATAATGTTGCAAAATTTTGGTTTGCAAAAGCAAACGATTTTCAAGAGGATAAACAGATTTTTAACATTTAGACTTCAACCAGGAATCTGCACAGTTAGTATGTGAATGAAAACCAAGTGTCAAGGTTTAGTCAATACAAACAATGATGCCTTTATCTATTTTAATCAACCCATTTCCTGAGAAGCATTTCCTTATGACAGCTATCAACCCCAATTTAGAAATAAACTGAACTTGGGGTGCCTGGGTGGCTTAGTAGGTTAAGCACTGGATTTCAGCTCAGGTCATGATCTCAATTCCTGGGACTCTGTGCTGACAGCTCAGAGCCTGGAGCCTGCTTCAGATTCTAAAATTTCTTTTTTTAGTTTTTGAAATTTTTATGTTCTATAGCGTTTATAATATGTTACTATTTAGCACATTAGCACATATAACTTCATAAGGATACCAGAGACGCACGCTCAAAAACTCTCTTGATGGGTGTCCTACCGAAAAGGTTTGGAAACCACTGGCTTTAAGAACCTTTAACCTCTGGTCTTGCTTTTAGTCAATTTCCAAGGCGACGTCCCAAATTTGAAACTGCTCTTGAGCGCGCGCGCGAACACACACACACACACACACACACACACACAC